AGCGTTCTCCCTTTTACTGTTCTCCCTTTTACCGTTCTCCCTTTTACCGTTCTCCCTTTTACCGTTCTCCCTTTTACCGTTCTCCCTTTTACCGTTCTCCCTTTTACCGTTCTCCCTTTTACCGTTCTCCCTTTTACCGTTCTCCCTTTTACCGTTCTCCCTTTTACCGTTCTCCCTTTTACCGTTCCCCCTTTTACCGTTCTCCCTTTTACCGTTCTCCCTTTTTACCGTTCTCCCTTTTACCGTTCTCCCTTTTACCGTTCTCCCTTTTACCGTTCTCCCTTTTACCGTTCTCCCTTTTACCGTTCTCCCTTTTACCGTTCTCCCTTTTACCGTTCTCCCTTTTATCGTTCTCCCTTTTACCGTTCTCCCTTTTACCGTTCTCCCTTTTACCGTTCTCCCTTTTACCGTTCTCCCTTTTACCGTTCTCCCTTTTACCGTTCTCCCTTTTACCGTTCTCCCTTTTACCGTTCTCCCTTTTACCGTTCTCCCTTTTACCGTTCTCCCTTTTACCGTTCTCACTTTTACCATTCTCACTTTTATCGTTCTCCCTTTTACCGTTCTCCCTTTTACCGTTCTCCCTTTTACCGTTCTCCCTTTTACCGTTCTCCCTTTTACCGTTCTCCCTTTTACCGTTCTCCCTTTTACTTTCTCCCTTTTACCGTTCTCCCTTTTACCGTTCTCCCTTTTACCGTTCCCTTATGTAAAGATAGTCACCTTAAGGTTACTCGAAGGAGGTTAGCAAAGAGTTAGGGAGGGGGATGGGGAGTCCCTGATCCCGTTTCACGCAAAAATTCATACGTCACGTATTTGAATGAGAAAACTTGCAATCTCTCTTCTTGTCTTCAATGCTTCGGGCAAGGACTAAATAAATTCACGGGTCCCATATATTTCAGGTGGCAAATCATATCCCACGTTGACATTAGTTCACGAATTACGCTTGCCTCTGTAAAAATTTACGCATCGCGTTAATTTTGGCCTTTATTAATCACACATAACTTACAAACCCTTTGCCTTCCTCTTAAAGGTGTCTTATTTCTGTTTTCGTTGAGATGATACTCAAAAAGTCCAAAACACTCATAAGAAAAAGAAACAAACGGCACACATAACATTGTCTGGGACCCCACAAATGCATCAACTGTATAATGAATTAGTATTTCACTTTCAGAACCATTTTTGACAATCCTTTACCACTGTTGCCAGATGGAATTTTCGACAAAATGACAAACAATACTAAGGTGTAAGTAAAGACGGGAAGTTATACACATCAAATAGCTTAGATAATCACAACAGTATTGCCAGTCCTCCTTGTTACTTTCATGTATCGCCATTACATTATTGTCATTATTATCCTTGCCGTTGACTTCATCACTGTTACCCTTATCGACTGTCCCATTGACCATTTGTTTTCCAGTTTGGCTGCAAGCCCAGAGTGTTTGGTGTTTTTTTTATGTTTTTGTTTTTGTTTTTTAATGTTTATGATTTTTTATGTATTTTGTTGTTGTTGTTGTTGTTGTTGTTGTTTTATGTTTTTAAAACCCATGTAAGATTCAGCCACGTAAGCCGCTTGGCTAATTGATCTTATACCAATTTCCATAATGATTGCGTTATTTTTTCAATCTTTACAACTTAGATTTATTTTATTCTTAATCTTATAATTGACAGATCATTGACGTGTAAAAATCTTCTTCAACTGCCTCGAGGAAGATATATGGCGACAATGTAAGTAGGCCTTAAATTCAATTTACTCTACACGCTATAAGCCTTTCAATAATGGACATCTAAACTAATAAATATCCAACTTCGTGCAGGTATTTTTCGAAAAAAAAGGTTATTCACAGCTAGCCTTGGTATAAACCTCTGCCTGGCCTAACCAAAGCATATTTCAATTCTTCAATTTCGATTGGCTCAATAAAAAAGCTACAGCAGTTGACCGTGGACCAGAAGATGGTTGGTATGCGTTTTTTCCCTCCATCATTTGCAATAGTCCGCAGAGTTATATTTGGGGGTTACTCGCGCTCCTGGGATGTAAGATATTTGGAACCAGTTCGAAAATACTCTGAGTTGGTTATCTATCATATTTTTCGAGCTCGTTCATCTCCCAATATTGTCGTTTTTCCCTGTTTCCTTAATTAATTTTTGCCTCAGTTTCCCCCTTGGCACAAAATAGGCAAGCCATACTATTTTGTATCACCGAGCCTTTGATATGTTGTAATTTTCTAACCTTCAGAGAATGTGCTCCTTCGACTTCGCTGCATGTTACTTTATCTGGAGAACAAAGCACCTTCCGAGCTGGCTGGAAACGCTCAGGCTTTGAATGCCGTGATTGTGACTCACACCATGTACCTACTTTTCCGTACAGAAGCTCCAGTTGCGCTGATTGCAGTCTCTGTTCCGTTGGTAACTATACCAGTGAAACAGGCTGTGTCGAGTGTCCTGCAGGTATTAATGAGTACTATTATTCTATGGTTAAGTTTCGTTTATGGAGAGACTTTAAGGATAATTTTTTAGAAACAAGCATCCATATCTAAGGGTAAGCTCTAAGCATTGTAAATTACGGCTAACAGAGAAAGAAAAAGGTTCTTCAGTGGGGTGAGACCCAGTTATTACATCAGTTGGCCTCTTAGTGAGCCAGTCTGTGCCTACAAAGTGGAGGTGACCATAATTGGCCGAACTAAGATGCAACTATTATTGACGTTGTCAGTGACACAAAACTAACAAATGCGGTTAAAGGAAACAAGCGGTGAAATTTAATCAAAATCATTTGTAAACCTTACTCGCTTTGGCCCTAGGAATAGACTGGCTCAATTGAATTCAGGGGCAAATCACTATTTATCGCCTTCGTGTGGGAGGGGAGGGGGAAGGTCGGATGATTTTTGTAAGAGGGAGGGGGGGTGGGATATCACACCCAAAATATCCATCTATAAATCATATCTTGTATAGCTCCACTTTCCACAACTTAACAAACTAGAAATTTCAAATACCGGTATCACTTTCCTTTCTTTATTGATGTTACCTTTGTTAACTAAGAACTGCACAAACTGGATCCTCCTTGAAATTCCAATTCAAAAAAATGGTCATTCTGCAAAATAAAACTCCCACGACATTTTCGTGCTACACGATAGTAAATATTCACTGAATGAGATAAACTGTCACCTCTTTCTTGCATCGTTCTTTGCATTTAATCCTTTCACTCCCAAGATCTCATTAGTAATTCCTCCTACTGTCTGTCATTAAATACTCATGATGTCAGTTTGGAGAATTTGGTTTTGAATCAACTTGTAGTCCCCTAATTGAGTTTTCTGCTTTATTCTCCTCACTTGTCTGCTTGATACTGTATTGATATTGCAAGGAGAAATTCTGTCTTGGTCACTCATGGGAGCTAAAGAGTTAAACTTGCCTAGTACAGCCTATTTACCGTTATCAAGTGAAAAGTGATAAGTATAATTGGTCTTAATATTTAAGTGGTTATGTTACATCCAGGAAACCCTGTTGGTAAAAAATGTCTAAAACTATGTCTGTTCCTAATAGAATTTCCATAGCACTTTGCATGTATAGCAAAAATAACAGAAATGCGATCAAGTACATGTATAAAGAGGGAGGGGGGGTGGGATATCACACGGTTTTCAAGAGAACGAAGTGTGGGTAAGTCGTCGACAGCAGAATTTAAAGGGACATTACAGAAGATTAAATTGATTGGTTGATTTTTTACTGGCATTGTAATATGATCTTTTACAGGAAACATTCCATTTGAAATGAACTGAAAACAAAACAAATCAAGAACATTTCTCAAAGTTCCTACATTGACAACTCCTGTTTATGGGCCCATAGTAACCCACTTGTGAAGCTGCTTCCTTGTTCTATGATATCTTTACAGGTGGTTTTTATCAGGATGAAATGGGACAAGTTGATTGTAAAAGATGCAGTAATGGTACATTTGTTTCTGCACTGCATAGTCCTGGGACCAAAGCGACCGATTGCGTGGCATGTCCTTACGGTAAATATAATGTTTGCTGTGTACTGTAACTTTTTTTCAACTTGACCACGCCTGAGGACACTTCCTACACAGTCAGAAGTTTCAGGCATCTTATTTAGCCAAAACAAGTCTATTTCTTCATAATGATAATCTAAAATGGATGATCCAAAATTTTACTCGGCCTGAGAACAGGTGGACGAGGCAAAAGTGATTGTTTTTTTTTTTTTTTTAGGTGTATGTTTGATTGTTGTGGACTTTGATTCATTGCAGAAGAGAGTTAATTCAGTGCAGAAGAGGGCTAATTCAGCGCAAAGAAAGTAACAAATCAGACATTCTGATTGGTCAATAATCAAAGAACTCACAGATAGCCAATCAAATGCGAGCCTTGGATGTCGTAGCAAAATGTGAAAAATTGTTGGCGAAACAATGGCCGCAGTTTTAAGTAGGTTTTCCTTCGCCACCGCAGCTGAAAAACAGCTCAAACAACAAAAACACTGTAAAAAGCACTGATTTTTGGTTGTCGGTTTGGAAAAAGTGGTGTTTAGAGAAGGGAATTGCCAAGGAAATCGAAAATTACGAGCCGACCCAGCTTAACACTATGCTCGAGCGATCCAACGCCAAAATACATAAAAACAAACATGGTTAAACCTCGGAAACGACGACGGAAACGACGATGGAAACGACGACGGGAACGACGATTCCATTTCATCGAAAGTTATTCGGACACAGACTGAACAATTCCTTGAACTGTTTAGCCGGACTTTGAACTTTTTTTGCGCCGTAAAGATGTGAAAATATCATTGCATATTATTGTTTTGATCGTACGCGGTTGTTTTGACCGAACGCTCGGTTTAAATAAATTATTTTTGAACGATGCGTGCGCTTTTGCTCTTATTTATGATAAGCCATCTCGTATTTTTGCATGTAAATTATTAACGTAATCACATGATTTTTTTGGTGCTATTTGGAATAAACAAGCACTTGTTCATTTTTTCAAAGACCACAAATTGATCTCGCCCTACGGGTTCGTGAAATTTTGTTAGTCTTTAAAAAATATTACTCGTGCTTATTTATTCCAAATTGCACTCGAAATCATGTGATTACCTATATCAAATGTTAATTCAGGTCGCTAGCGAGGTCTTACATCTCAGCCAAATGAAATAAGAGAGGAAGTGAGTGCGTGAAAAACCCTTTCCCACTCTATGCTATGTCACCTACAACTACTGATTGGTATTCCTATTGATTTTTAAAATCACTCTATTTTCAGGCACGCTTTCGAACGAGACTGCTGGATATCGTGCATGCAGATGTCTTCAAAGCTTTTATCGATTGGATCGTTTTGGCCCGTGCTCAACATGTCCACCATACGGCTTTGTTTGTGAGAACGATACAGCAATACTTGCTCCTAACTACTTCTGGAAATGGTCCAATCAGTCTGAAAAAGAGCGTTTCAAAGGTTTTGTTAACAATATCCATTCTTATGGATCAGACTACAACAAGTCCTTTTCAACGTTCAATACTTCACTTCCGAAGCCACTCAAATGTCCCCATGCCAAGTCCTGCAAGGGTGGAATCGACTCAGAATGCCATCAAGGATATCAAGGGAATTTGTGTGCAACCTGTTCTAACGGCTTTTATTTCCGCTTCCACTCATGTTTGAAATGTCCTCACCTAACTGTAACAATAATCTCGTCTATCTTGGTGATTGTTCTTTTTGTTGCTGTGTTTCTAATAGTTCTTTGGGGTGACTCCAAACGTGCAGAGAATAACCGAACAGTTGCAGATGTCGTCATGTCGTGCTTCAAGATTGTGATTGGTTTTTATCAAGTCATTGCTGGTATTTTCTCAGCATTGGCGAAAGTCCAGTGGCCGATCACTTTGATTTCAGTGGAGAAATTTCTAAAAGTATTTGAAGGGAACATTTTTCAGTTTGCTCCACTAAGCTGCATTGATTCTTCTTTGCGTTTAGATCAGCTTGGAAAGTTCACATTGATCGTTGCCTTGAATGTCCTACTTGTTGGCTCACTTTTCTTGTATCTATCTCTTAAAAAACGCTACATCATGAACAAGAAGGACCTTAGCGAAAGCCAGAAAAGAACACAAGTTGAAAGTTTGAAGAAATCTTGCTATCGGAATATTTTCTTGCTGTTGTTGACGACCTACCCTACGACGAGCAAATCGATTATTCAAATTCTACCTCTTCCCGGTGCGTGTGTAGAAACGTGTTTCGCAGACGACAAGAACGACTGTATCTTCCTACTGAGAGCTGACTACTCCATCAAGTGTTTCACTCCTCGCCACAGCTTGTATTGGCTCATGGCTTCTCTTTTGGCAATATATCCCGTGGGATTTCCAGTTCTAGCTTTGTTTCTCACTTACAAATACCGTGAGTCCCAGGAAGACAAAGCAATTGCTTTCGGACTTCGAGTGTTCTTTGAGAACTATAAGAAGAAATTTTGGTTTTGGGAGGTCACAGAGATGTACCGCAAGCTGATATTGATCTCATTGATTTTCCTATTTGGATCCAAAAGCCTCCCTCAAATCAGCCTTACTGTTCTGACAGTCAGCGTCTTTGGAGTGCTCTACACCTTATTCCGACCAATCAAGGAAAAGTTTGAAGACCGCTTACAAACATTTGTCTTGTGGGTCATTTTCTTTGACGTTTGCCTTGGTGCAGTTTATACGAAATGGGATGAGAATCAAGAGGAGGGCAAGAACGAATCTGTGTTTGTGAATATCCTCTTCGTTGTTCTCAACGCCTCTGTACTGATGCTTGCCATCGGTAAGTGCCTAAGTTGGGTAAACAATGACATAAGGAATGTGCATGTTAGCCTTTAAGACACACGCGAGCTGCAAAGGCCTCCATAATTTGCACGTCTTAATTAGCAAATGAGGTTTGCAAAGATCACTAGAGAAGATTGGACTTGGAATCTACCAACTTTTTGCACTACTTTTTTCCAACCAAATATCGGCGTAAAATAGCGTTTGTAGTAGTCAGCTCTCAAAATGGAATCGGCAAAATTTCATAACGGCCAACATTAAAATAAAACCTTAAGACATCAGGGACTTAGACAAAAAAAGGAAACTTCTTTCGATTCTGTAAGGCGTTATTCCTGATCATGAGTCAAAATATTTTCCCTTGTATCTTAATAAAAGAAAATGCTTCTGATAATAAACAACGGCAGCTGAGGAAGAGTGTTTTTCCTTCTTCTCGCGCCCAGTCTCTCGGCGTTCGCTAGTTATGATTGGCCCATCGAATAAATGGGGGATAAAGATTCCCGCGCTAATTCGAGCTAACTTTGTATCAGATGAGTATAGAACACTCAGGTTTAATGAGGAATTGCCTTGATTTCTTGCACGACAATTTCTGATAACAATTTAGGACATTTAGTTGAAGAATCTGCAAGGAAAAAGAAACGTTGAATTATGTTTACAATGTCACGATTTTATTTTTGCTCTTTTATCTCCAAACGTCTCCGAAGGCAAGTCAATTTTTCTTCTGCAAATTATTACAACTCTTGTGTAATACAAAGCCTAGGTTTTCTGTTGAAGCCTTGTAAGAACCTACCAATAATAAAATACTTGCCGTCCCTACCATAGTGTTAATTTCATTTCTTTTCTTTTCTTTTATCAGGAAAAGGGATTGTCCATATGATGTTATTCAAGAAGTATGTTTTCTTCTGTCCAATGCGATGTTGCAGTTTCCTTCGCCAAAAAGTCGCTCATCTTAAAAATAAAGCGGTCACAAGAACGGGAACATCTGATGAACTGCTCAGCTCCAATGAAGATAGCGACTAGTATTTTCTTGAGCCCTTCACGATAAGGGACCAGTCATTATTTGTCGTCTAGGGGAAGAGGGGGTGATAAACGGATGATTTGTTTTTTTCACGATAAAATTTACCTGATTCCCCCATGAGGCTCTGTCAAGTGCTAATGATCCCTCTTTTACCTTAATGGTGATGACTGATGCCACTACGTTTCCCCTGAAAAACAAGTGATCCCCAAACAAAATTCCTCCTCCCCCCGCCTTGGCAAGATGCGTCGTTAAGTTACCAGACAGTTGTTTATCACAGCCGAATGAGAGGAGGCTGGAACCGAGACTAGATTCGAACTAGTACGCAGATCAGAAGATAATTCTTCGTAACGAAATTAATGGAGCTATTTGTATTTTGTCTAGAAGGATCAATTTTATGATTTTAAAACCTGCATGGGCGATAGGTATGGATGGTTCAGCTAGCATGTAAAAACAATGTATAAAAGTGTAAAACGTAAAAGTGCAGATGAAATCACAGATTTTTTTTAGTAATTAGTAATGGTTGTCGCTATATCTTCTCCGTCTTTTACTGATGATAATATTTTGAGTATGGGAATAACTCTAACAATTTTGAAGAATATCTTATCACGTAGCTTTTAGGTTATCATAAAATTTTATAAAGAAGCGGTGCAACTGCAGAAATAGCGTTAAGGGGGTCTTGGGTAATTTTAGCATCCCGGGGGATGCCGCTTAGGTTAGCCATCAAACGTTCCAATCCTTCTCAGTTCTTTAAATAAAATAGAATGAAAGAACAATCGATTAGTTTTCTAGATAAACAATTAATCTTGGAGGTAACCCTCGAAACCTCAGCTTTATTTTCTTTGTACCGTCGAAACCTAATTTGCACTTAGCCTCGTTCTCGGGGCTTTATTTAGGGACCAGATCTCGACTCCTGAGGGCTTGGAAATGGGCTGTACTAGATAAACTACCACCATCCACTCTAAGAGCTTACAAGGGCAAAATAATTATCTCAAGAAACAGAAATACCTGATAACAAGGAACAGTTGGACAAAATTAGGGATACTTAGAACAGATCACTAACAGGTCAAGTTGAAAATTGTCAGGCTGGCATTTTGCAAGTTTATTGGGGTTTGTCTGGAATTTCCAAATAACATGTTTGAAAGTTATCTTACTTTTATTGCTACTTTATCTTTACTAAGAAGACAGTTTCTTTCTTATTTTGCTTGCCATGCATGAAGATCACTGTTAATCAATTCAACAAAACTTCCTTGAATTATACCCTGAGGCAGAAAGTCTGATAGTGCTATGTAGTTATCAACTGAGTGGGAGAGCCAGATGGGAAGTTGTTTGGCTCAAGGTCATGACACATGGGCAGAACAGTGAGCTCCACATCCCATGACCTTGTGCTAAATACTTTATTATCTAGATCTGGCCCAACCAAACTCATTTACACCTTTCAACCCCTAACAGAGACAAGTATCTAATTCCTCATTACAGTATCTCCACTAAATAATGAACAAAAAAGAAATGATCACCAACTACAGACTGAAGCTCTTGATTCTTTACCAAATTCTTCTTGTTAATACCATTGTGATGTGCAGAGAAAAGTGTGGAGAATATGCAACTTCTGCTCCATCTCCTTCTATTTACATTTCTTCCATCTTGGAATGTCCAGTTTTTTCCAGCATTGGTCTGGCTGTCATGTACAGCCCTCATAGAGGGATTCTGCTCTAATATGTTCCATTAAAAATTGTCTAGAGCTGTACAAGTCATTTCACATATATATAACCTTATTCCATGTATAACACAATCTTTTGTCCATGGAAACTTTTAACTAGCACATGTAAAAACTTGCCAGAATCAAGAAAGTTCACTTAAAAATCTTTTTTTTTTTTCTTTTTCAGTAAAACATACCTTATGACCTTTTAATGAAAAGTCACACCATCCTTTAAACACATGAAAGGGAAAAACTCACTTTGTTAACAAGAGAAACTCCAATAAAACAAAATAAAATTTGAGCATATGCTGTCGTTTACCACTATTGAATGAGTTTTGATTACTACAAGGATGTAATTAGTGCACATAAAGAGTGCACTGCATTACAGTATTCCCCACTCAAGGAACTGTGATTCTGGTAAGGACACATACACCCTACTATTACTAGCAAAGCAAAGTGACATACTTCAAAAATAAGTGTACACAAGTATGGTGAATGTAATTTACACATTAATTGCAAACCAAAGAACAAGTATAGTGTATGTGTAACTCCAAAAACGAGCTTTTTATCCTATAATGTGGAGAAAACTAAAGCCTTCGACATGTGAATGCTGAGATACATGAAACACATACATGAATTGAAATCTCACAACTTGTTGTAAATATGCATTCTCATTATTGTCATTCACTGTAAAAAAAAGACCAGTTTCTACTGGTTAGAAACAAGACAAAACTTCAATGCTGCACAAAAATTTTAAGGGTTCTAGATTTTTATATTTGATGAAAAAATCAGACAAAATAAAACTTTCTTTCACTCAAACTGAATGGAGTAAAAATATCTAAATTTCTACAATTTGAAGTTGGATTTGCACAAAATATCCATTTATAAATCATATCTTATATAGCTCCACTTTGCACAACTTGACAAATTAGAAATTTCATATAACAGTATAACTTTTCTTTCTTTATTGATGTTACCTTTGTTAACTAAGAACTGCACAAACTAGATCCTCCTTGAAATTCCAATTCAAACAAATGGTCATTCTGCAAAATAAAACTCCCACAACATTTACGTGCTACACGATAGTAAATATTCACTAAATGAGATAAACTGTCACCTTTTTCTTGCAGTATTCTTTGCATTTAACCCTTTCACTCCCAAGATCTCATTAGTAATTCCTCCTACTGTCTGTCATTAAATACTCATGATGTCAGTTTGGAGAATTTGGTATTGAATCAACTTGTAGTCCCCTAGTTGAGTTTTCAACTTTATTCTCCTCACCTGTTTGCTTGATACTGTACTGATATTGTAGGGAGAAATTCTGTCTTGGTCACTCATGGGAGCTAAAGGATTAAACTTGCTTAGTGCAGCCAATTTACTGTTATCAAGTGAAAAGTCAAACTCAGTAATATCTAAAGGAACATGAAAATACAGTACAATAATGGTCTTAATATTTAAGTGGTTATATTACATCCAGGAAACCCTGTTGGTAAAAAATGTCTAAAACTATGTCTGTTCCTAACAGAATTTCCATAGCACTTTGCATGTACAGAAAAAAATAACAGAAATGTGATCAAGTGCATGTAGTACATGTATACTACCATCTTCAAAACATAGCTGTCTGTCTCTATCATAGTCTTCTGTCATCATCTCCGTCTTCTCGGTGACTCTGACCGTGAGTGAGACCTTGATTTATGTTTCTTCTTCTTCCGTGATTTATCTTTTGACGAGGAATGTCTTTCTGACTTGCTTTTCGACTTAGAGCTTGATCTGGATCTGGACTTATGACGAGATCGTTTAGGAGACTTGGAATGTGATCTTCTTCTCCGAGAAGAATGAGACTTTGACTTGTGATTTGATGAAGATCGTGATCTTGATCGACGACGACTTGGACGAGTAGGCGATGCAGAATGTGAATGCTTTTTACTGCTTCTTTCGGGCGACTGTGACTTATCACGTGAATGTGACCGACGCAATTTTGAGTGAGACAAAGAAGGCGACGAAGAATGTCTTTTTCTCTTCGGAGGTGGCGACAGAGACCTTGATCTTGAGAGAGACCGTTCTCTTGTGGAACGAGGAGTTTCTTCGACAAGTCTAATTTTCTTTCCCAAGAACTCTTGCTTGTCAAGCGACTCTAACGCGTTGATCATGTCCTCCTTGTTTGAAAATTCAACGACTCCTTCGCCTGGCCTTCTTCTGTGCGTATCTGCGAAAGTAACATCTCCCGCTACGCTCATAAACTCTTTGAGCTCAGACCATTTGGCTCTCGCCGGAAGGTTTTCGACGCGGATTCTAAAGTTAGTCCGCACTGGGGGTGGTTTAGGCTGGCGAACCCTTGCAGTGTATCCGCCGGCTATGGTATAGCCCCCGACACCATTTCTAATATCTTTAGCTCTTTCGACGAGAATATTCTGGCCCATAAACTCTTTTCCGTTGAGTTCTTGTACAGCTCTGTCAGCATCGTTGTAGTCTTTGAAAACGGCGTAAGCATATCCCTCCTTGAAATCAATGTCACGAATTTTGCCGAAGGATTTCAGCAGAGACTCTAAATCCTTTTCTGAAGCATTGGGAGGCAGTCTCCCGCAGTAGATCCTGCCACTCATGCCTATTTGAAACACGTCCTAGTGCAAGAAGAATTTCTTTGCAAAATCTTACAGACCACGCTCCAAATTCTCCGCCATCATAGGCATTGAACTCTACTGCGCACGACCGTTGTAAAAAACCGCTGGCTGAGGAGAGGTTACTAAGCGCACGTGTGATATCTTAAAATCTCTTCTAGCAGCCATGTTAGCAGCTCGGAAGATTTCATCAGCATGTTTTAGCAAGAATTTAAGCCGTAAATATCACAAGTTTTGCAGGCCATTAAAGTACTGTCACAGAATAAATAGGAGTTCGTCGCTTCACAGCAATCTTGATCGTTTCCAAGCAGCGATCGAGCCTCGTATCCTGGGTGTTTTGATAGGACGTCATACATTCTCCACATCAGCTGATCGTTCGGCTTACAACAAGCTGCCATGGAAAGATAGGTATTTGATGGTGTATTGTGACCACGAGATCATAGCTCTTTACAAATTCTTTTAACAGTAGTGGTTCCTAAGGTGAACTTCTGACATCTCCTATACAATATATAGGCATGTATCGACAGTTTTGGCGATTTGTGGCATGATTCGCCAAATCGGCTACTATGCCTGTGTTCTGCAATTATGCAACAAACAGTACAAAATTTTAAGTTATTTTATTTCATATTACTTACTGGATAAAGGCTTTTTTTACGGTGACCAAAGTATTATCAAAGGTTACAAAATGGTGTCTTAAAGAAAGGTTGATCTAGGGGTGCTAGACTCTCTCTTTAAGTCCTCCTATTACCCCATGCCAACCCCCCCCCCCCCACCCCCCTACTCCTGCTACGAGCAGCCAACAGGCTTTTGTTCTGCTCATGCACATATAAGCAGCATTCTCAGAAATAGTAGAGACATGGATAGTGAAAATTATGTAATTTTCTTGCGAATCTGAGGAACTGTGCACCTACCCCTCCCCTAACCCAACATTAATGCTAACTTGTAGTCAGTTGACTATTTTTAGGTTAAGGGAAGGGTTGGTGTGCATTTGCTCCATTTTAATTTCTGGTTTATAACCAGAGCAGTGATATTTTGGTCATTACATGTAGGTGGCTTGATAACTAGCACTTAAGATTTATCCTGAGCCATTCTTTTGCCTCCTTCCCACTTCCCTTAACCCTTTAACCCCAAGATCAAATTTGTAATTCTCCTTACTGTCAACCATACAATTCTTATAATGATAGTACAGAGAATTTAGTATTGGATCAACTAATTATCCCCAAATTGATATATTTTTCTTTATTCTCATCACTTACCTGGTTGATATTGTATTGATATTGTAAGGAGAAATTCTGTCTTGGTCACTCATGGGAGTTAAAGGGTTAATAAGTTTTATTCAAAGGTAAATACAAGTAGACTAGCTTTAAAAAATTAAAAGCTGAATATTCCATTTCAATGTGCAAAATAAAGTTCCTGTGTGTGATTTTCAACTAGTTTGAAATGTACATGTATTCAGGTACATTTTGTTCCGAGCAAATGATGAACATCTCCATATAAAGCAAACAATTAGGCTGAGATCAATATAACATTTATAACATTTGGGACTTTTTCAGGGCCATAACCTATATGCATATGGTGTATTTTGGAAATCAGTAAAACTTTTAAATATTCCCTATTCATGAGTATTTTATGTACGCAGTCTCAACACTAACAGTTATTTCTTTTAGGGGAAAAGATTTTGAGGAAAGTCATTTAGTTTTGTTTCCAAGAAGATACAATAAATCTCAGAATTCTAACAACCAAGGTGCAAGGTAAGTGATCATCCATGAATGTATTATGCAGTTTACAAGTGAAATTGATCATTTAATTAGGTATTTTATACCTTAATATGGGAATTAAATTAAACAGGCTCTTCCATAACTGTCTGCTTAATTTTACTACAAGGTGCTGGGTAAACATGAGTGTGCTTGATACTGGTGTCACTGTCTTTCTTTAATTTTTCTAATGAACCATCATTTTCAACTGGCATTTGCTTTTTTCGGATTGCAGCGATCAGTCCTCAGAAGGAGCCAGTGGCCACGGAAGTGATGATGGAGATGGAGGGGACAAAAAAGATGATGGGGCTGAGGTGGTAATTGAAGATAAGACCGAGGCTAAGGTTGACCCTGCGGCAGGGGCCTTGGCACAGGTCCATGTTCCTGATGTGTTTCCTGAGGTGCCACTTTTACCGATTCACAGAAACCCAGTTTTTCCACGATTTGTTAAAATGATGGAGGTTTGTCTTTTTATATCACTGCATCATGTCTCTTGTGTTGTTCTCCTTTGAGTTACACCTTCCTACCTTTTTTCTGATTAGCAGCTCAAATCTTATGACCACATGTGACAAACATATTTTTCTAGGCTAAGAGATGACTTTTCATGTTTTGTTTTTCTTTTCTTCAAACAGTTTTACCAGCAAAATTGGATAAAATATTAATTAAATTGTTTAGCACATGAGTACATATAGTTTTCTGTGGTTAGTCAGGATAAAAATGCAACTATCCACTTAATTGTAGCAAAATTTACTAAGTCTGTATTTATTTTAAAATGTCAGTAGCATTCTCATATGTAGCAGCATACGTGTACTTTTACATTTGTTATTACACAATAATGTGAAACTAATTTTCACTCTCAGTATCTTTGAATATTACTTTAGGATTGAGTGAAAGAATCTCTATTCTTACATCTGAAATGTCACTTAAATACCATTTAACATTGCCCTCACTGTTCTTCAACAGATCACAGACAAGTCCCTGATGGAATTAATCAGAGTAAAATCAAGACTTGCACAGCCCTATGCAGGTGCTTTTCTTAAAAAGGATGACAGGTAAAGTTTGAAAATTCATGAAAACTTCAACTTGGGAGGCAAATTGAATATATACCTGTTTATAAGTGTAAGTTGCTGATATTATACTCTGTTGTATGTTGTTGATATCATCTGCCTCTGGAGTAAAACTATAATTATATTATATACCTTCAGAGGATGCTTCATTTACATTTTACATACTTTACTATAATGAATGTATTATATTTGTAGTAATGAGGCAGAAACAGTAACCAGTTTGGATGACATCTACCAAGTGGGTGCATTCGTGCAAATTACAGAGCTCTATGACATGGGAGACAAAATAAGAATGGTTGTTCTAGGACATAGAAGGTTGGTGCAATTTCAGTTTCCTTAAAGTTCTTTTGATTCATGTTAACATACAATGAACATTTACCAAGTGCCATCTACACTCTGTCTCTGGAAAGCTTTATTAACTGCATGTATCTATTTTTTTCTTTTTTTTAATTTCAGGATTAAAATCACTGGAATCTTTGATTATCCCTCTCACAGTGAAGAACAATCTGCTGACACTACTGTCATTACAGAGGGATCTCTAGACCCCACCCTACAACAAGGGGATACTCCTAGCAAACCCATCCTGATGGTCTCTGTAGAAAATGTGCTTCATGAGCCTTTTAAAGTTACTGAGGAAGTCAAGGTACAGGATACTAGAAATGAAAGATAAAAATCATTTTTCCTCATTGCATCTTCCAGCTTCTTTGTTTGTGGGTCTAGATAGCAGGAACAGCAATGCTGAAGGTGGTGGAAACAACACTGACTTTGCACCTGTTGTCTGTTGTTGCCATGGCACCTAATGCCACATTTTGGTTGAGTTTTTTGTTAGTTCATTGCCTCGCCCTAAATATTTTTCTGCATGGACTCTGAATTCCTCCTCTCTTAAACACCAGCACTCCAGTCCTAAATTTTCCCATGGGATTAGTAGGTGAAGAACAACCCTGAAGTGAGGTATTGCAAAACTCAAAATTAGACAGTCATCTATTTTTTTTGTTTTTTTGTTTTTTTGTTTAGGCACCCTTACTGTGTAAAAATTTAGATACTGTTCTTTTCATTTTAAGACTTTCAACTACATTGTCTGTTTTAATGTTGAATCAACAGGCACTGACTGCAGAGGTCATCAAGACCATACGTGATATTATTTCGTTGAATCCTTTATACAAAGAGTTTTTGGCACAGCTTGTCGAGGGCGGCAAAAGAGTGGCAGATAATCCTGTCCATTTGGCTGATTTTGGTAGGGAGGCTGCAGGATTTTACTGAAGTTTAGGTTGCTTTGTTGTAAATCTGTTGAAGAGAATGCAATTTTTTTATGTTAATCTCAGGTGCTGCACTCACTAGCGCTGAAACTGCACTCCTGCAGGAAGTTTATGAAGAGACAAAAGTTCCAGTGCGATTACGCCTCACCCTTGAACTGCTCAAGAAAGAACTTGCCATCTGCCTTTTGCAACAACAGCTAGGGAAAGAGGTGAAGTAAATTATGAATTTTTAGGTAACCAAGTCAACTTAAGTTTGCATGTAAGTTAAGGGAATACTGTACTATAGTCATGTAGCCAACTCAGAGGCACTTTTTCAAACACATTTGATCACCTTATAGGGAAACCTCATACCACATAAAGATTCTTACCACAAAATTTGGGTCTATTATTGTCACTAGAATTTGGATTGGGAATTTTTTTCCCCATCCATTGAGTAAGAAGTCTTCTGAACTAAATTGTTAGAAGTGGGCATGTTCATTTTACAGGTGGAAGAAAAAGTTAACAAGCAACAGAAGAAATACTTGCTTCAAGAACAACTGAAAATCATAAAAAGAGAACTTGGCTTAGAGAAGGAAGACAAAGAAGCAGTTGGTGAGAAGTTCAGGAATAGAATCAAGGATCTTAATGTTCCCAAACATGCTGAAGAAGTTATTGAAGAAGAACTGTCTAAACTGGCCTATCTTGATGCTCATTCTTCAGAATTCAAGTAAGTTAAATTAAGAATTAAGGGTTTTCAATAAGAACTAACAGCTTGTGAAAATCACTAGCTAATATCCATGTCTTTTCTGCGTACAGTACTGTGATTGCTCAATTATTCAAAACAAATCTGGCAGAGTTTTGAGTGATATGTTTCTTTTTGGCTTGATCACAACACTGTTTTTGCTGAGAAAGTTGTGGTTCAAACTCAATTCTTATTTTTTTTTGGTTTGTTCTTTGTTATTAGTGTAACACGAAATTATTTGGATTGGTTAACAAGTATCCCTTGGGGAATTCACAGTCAGGAGAACTTCAATATTAGTCAGGCACGAGAAGTTTTGGATGAAGATCATTATGGGCTGCAGGATATTAAGGACAGAATATTGGTATGATAATTATGGTGAAATGACTTGATGGTAGCACTTAAGCACAATTTCTGTTGCTTTCTTGAGTCTGTGTCAAGGGTTTTTTTTTTTTTTTTTTGTTTTCATAGGAGTTCATTGCTGTAAGTCAGTTGAATGCAACTGTTCAGGGAAAAATCCTTTGTTTTACAGGCCCACCAGGTACAGTTTAACTGTAGCAGCTCATTGTAGTGTTGTTACTAACTGTATGTTTTGCTTGGAAAATTAAAGCTGAACCAAGAGTGAATTGAGATATTTTACCACAGTAAAAACAACTAATTTTTTTGTTCTCATTCTCAGGAGTGGGGAAAACAAGTATTGCTAGGTCTATTGCAAGAGCACTCAACAGACAGGTACAGATTTAAACAAGTCTCAATGTAATCTTAAAGAAATGATCATAAATACTGTCCCTACACGGGAAATTACTATTAATTATTATTGTTATTATTATTATTATTATTATTATTATTATTATTATTATTAATTAACGATTATTTCTCACTATATGAAATTAAATATTAGGTCTAGTATTTCATTTAAAATGCCACCAACTAATACTAACTTGTCAAAATTAGACAATTTTGCACTGGCATCTTCCAAAGTTAGGGGGAGCATATAATTTTATTTAGCCCTTCATATTTTAACCATTTATCTACCCACCCTGAGTTGCCTAGAACCTGTCTACCCTATTTGTGAAAACTCTTGTATCTAAGATCAAAATTAATCATATTTTGAGCCTTGGATTTTGACTAATGAGGAGGTGATCCCCAACAATGCACATGTACCTCAATTTAAAAAAAGCATGTAGAAGAGAGGCTTCACAAAAGTATCAGGCTTTGAAAACCACATTTCTCCTACGGAAGAATTGCACGCTACCACTACCTGAGGTACTATGCCATTTGTTTGGAGACAGGCAAATCTTAGTGGGTTCTTAGATCCATGGGAAGGAATCTGAAAATTCCATAGGTTTTGATATTTAGCTTAATTATTTATTGTACCCACAGTACTTTAGGTTCAGTGTTGGTGGAATGACGGATGTGGCTGAGATCAAAGGACATAGGTGGGTTGGTAAAGAATGTTTGAAAAGGGTGGTTTTCAATTTAACCATTTAACTCCCATGAGTGACCAAAACAGAATTTCTCCTGACAATATCAATACAATATCAACCAGATAAGTGATGAGAATAAAGAAAAATATAAATTTCGTGATAATGAATTGATCCAAAACTAAATTCTCAGAACTAACATTAAAAGAATTGTATGGTTGACAGTAAGGAGAATTTCAATTTTGATCTGGGAGTTAAGGGACAAGAATATCCTTCTGATTATTAGTCCTCTTGCGTAGCCAAATGCTCGTCAGGGGCGCTGAAAATTTTGTGATCATCGCGGCGTATGTGGTTCTGTTTTCATGATTGTGATACTCTTTCCGCTGCATGTGCAAAATTGACAACTGCACGTACATTAATATTTTGGCTGAATTGTACGAGAATAGCAGTTTGGTGATGAACATAAACAATGTTTTTTCCTCTTTTGTTTTGTTTTTCTTTTCAGGCGCACGTATATTGGTGCAATGCCGGGCAAAATTATTCAGTGTCTTAAAAAGACTAGAACAGAAAACCCTTTGATACTTATTGATGAGGTATAGTGAATGTGCACGAGATAATGCAATCCATCAAAATTTCCTAACTTCAATTGAGAGTACATGTACCACGCATTTTAAGGCAGTGTAAGCGGTTCTGGTGTAAGCGGTTCTCTCTGACCTCTGCGGTCCTGAATCTCTCTCTCACTATCGTACGTGTGTTTTTGCTTGATTTCGTTTATGCTCCGAGAATCCTTATTCGTGTTTCCCAGCTTTATTCTCAGAAAGCGTGGTCGTACCTCAATTTTCATCTCAAGGTGTATGTGCTGGCCAGATGGCGAGTTTTTTTAGAGGTTTTGCATGATACATTTACTGGGGTACATTCATGTATGTGTAAATTCATATCTTAAACATGTTAAAATGAAGTTTTGATTACGGAGAATGCACCGTTAAACCTTTGCTTTTTTTTCAGGTGGATAAGATTGGCCGTGGTGTTCAGGGAGACCCTGCTTCGGCTCTACTTGAACTTCTTGATCCTGAACAGAACTCAGGTTTCCTCGATCATTATCTGGATGTGCCGGTGGATCTTTCCAAGGTATTAGACAGCTTCAGCTCAGTTTTTTCCACGTATCTGCATATGTACACTCGGCTTAAGTGTATGATGCAAAACAAACTAATTTGTAGGCATACGGAGCGATAAACGAACGTGAACGCTAGCGATTTCGGGCAGGTGAGAAAGATAAACCCTCCGCACTCGTTCTCGCGCGCCCGTTCACGCACGTCCGCCTCGCGCTTCCTCTTATAACTACAGAAAAAGGTTTGTATGGAAACGTGCGAGTTTGTAAATGGTTCAAGTATGAAATGCAATCATCGGGGCAAAAAGTTGTATTTTTTGTTGTTTGCACGCATCCAAGGCTGTTTGTGATGATTTTCGGCGAGTTATGGCTATTGTATGTTGTTGATTGGGCCGGCCGTGGCGGTGCTCGTGTTTCTGTGGATGCTCTAGTGGAGAAACAGCTGTAATTGATTCTTTAAACTTATTCTTTCTTTTTTCCTTTTTCCTTATTTTTTCCTCAGGTTCTGTTTATATGCACAGCTAATATTACCGACACAATTCCTGGTGCCTTGAAAGACAGAATGGAAATAATAAACGTATCTGGATATGTAGAAGATGAGAAAAAAGCAATTGCCAAGGTTTGTTATAATTGTTGTTATTATTATTATTACTATTATTATTTATATCCTACTTGTTTTATGGTTTTTCTTTCGCTTTTATTAAAGCGTTACAAAACAGTGCAATTCTATGTAACGTAATCCGATACGGAAAGAAAAACAACACCTAGCCTACATGTAGCCGTACCCTCCCCCGATGGTGAATCGGGAGCGAGGCCTCGCCTCCGTTTTATCTTGGCGGCTACACGTAGGCTAAACAACACCAAGAAGAAATCCCGATACAACACTAACTATCTACACGTGCTATCTTTGTTAGACGTACCTCATTCCCCAAGCACGAAAGAGTGCAGGTATAACAGAAGAACAAGTTGCTATTCGCGATCCATCGCTGGCTCTTCTCATCAAAGCTTATTGCAGAGAAAGTGGCGTGAGGAACCTTCAAAAACATATAGAGAAGGTACTTTCATGTTACATACACGATGACTTTGTTCTCACTGATCTTGCTCGATTCGGCTGAGTCAGTTTGCTTATTACGACTCACTTCTATCGCAAAGAGGGGTTTGATTTTGCGGATATAGAGTTTTTATTCTTAGCTTCAAATCAGTTTGTGATGTGCCACACCATCTTGATGACCAGTAGCACTTCGACCTGAATTTCTGCAAATATTATACCTTGGCGATCTTGGCACCATGTACATGCACTACACGTGTCACATTGTTTGCGGCTGAACCTAATTCATGAACAATATCTGCATAAGGTCCCTTCAGTTAAGTGGCTCAATAAACCCTATTTCTCGTAAGCTACCATCAAAACTGTGGCCATTTGTGAGGATATTATCACAAGCCAGAATGTTATGTTTCGGGTGTGGTCAATTAAAATAGGTGGTTGCTTAGGAGAGTTTGATAGTATCCATCGATGTAGGCAGGGTTGTCAATTCAGATTTCACTTGAAAGGTGTTTTCTTTCAACTCTTTCCCAACAAGAGATTCAAATATTGTTTTTAAAGTACCGTTAACTGTTCTATGAATGATTTCCTTTCGTAATTCCTCATCACAGATCTTCCGTAAAGCTGCTTTGAGGATAGTGCAGGGTACTGAAGAAGAATTGAGCGTTACAGAGGAGAATCTTCACGAATATGTCGGCAAGCCACTGTTTAACAGTGACCGAATATATGATGAAACCCCACCAGGGGTAGTGATGGGTCTAGCCTGGACTTCACTCGGTACGTTACCACCCCTCTCTGCTCTTGGATTAATGATATGTTCTTATTATCCTGTTTGAAAAGTTGATTTTGGTAAATACTGAAGTTCATTGTCCTTTTCAAAAAAAAAAAAGAGCTGCACAAGTGTGATATCGTGGCTAATCCGTTATGTTGTAGGTGGTACCACCCTCTACGTGGAAACTTCTTTAAACGAGTCATCCTCTGGCGATGACAGCAGAGGTCAACCATCTCTTGAAGTAACAGGCCAGCTTGGAGATGTGATGAAGGAGAGTTCACGTATAGCGTACACATTTGCAAAGGTTTGTTTACTGTCTAGATTAAAATGCGAAAATCCCTCTGTTCACGATTTCCACTGATTTGTTCCCTCCTTGCACTGATAAAACACATCTTGTGACTTCCATTTCTCACTTCTTGTAATACACTCACTTTTGCCACGTCACCTTGCTTTCCTCCCACTTTCTGATGTTAGTTTTCTATTGGTCGCTCTACAGAACATTGTGATAAGAATGAACTTCATTGGTGATAAGCGATATTTAAGCAACAAGATATCGGTCGATATTTACACATTTTCATCTTGTAATCTTTTTCAGCAATTTTTATTGAAAGAAGATGCAGACAATGAATTTTTTAGACATGCTTCTATTCATCTTCATGTTCCAGAGGTAGGTTGTGTGTTCTAGACTTTTCACAGCCACTACACGGAGGAGGAGGAGGAGGAGGAGGGAGGAAGGGGGGGGGGAGTACGCTAATTATTTTGTATTGTTGTTTTATTTTTTCGCGGGAATTAAGAAACTCTCGAAATTTACCATATGGGTCAAAGCCTTTTGAAAATTTTGATGGCAAGTATGCGAGTTTCTTCTGTATGAACTACTTTAAAAAACATCTGTCTTACCAAACGATAAGTGTTATGCCCCGCAACAAGGTCACAGATGATGAGAAACAGGAGGAAACTTTCTACTATTGTCGAGAAATCTTTGTTTTGCACGCATTTCTCTGGTTCCATGTTACTGCGACAGCTGCAAGGGGACCGGTCTAGAGACTGAATAACGGTTAAAACCTTTGGTACTCTATTGTTGATTGTAGGGAGCCACCCCTAAAGATGGGCCATCAGCTGGCTGCACCATCATCACTGCGCTCCTGTCTCTGGCCAAAAATACACCAGTTAGACAGAATATAACCATGACTGGGGAAGTATCACTCACTGGAAAGGTTTGCTGTGTTCTCTATTTAAATTACAGTGCTATAAGCTGCGACCGTTTTGGTCGCCAATTGGTAACTAGAAAACATTTTGGCGATCAAAAGTACAGTTTAAGTCAATTATTTAGCGACTTGTGGGATTGATGTCAGTATCTCAGTAACGATGCACCTACCCTTCCCCTAACCAAGCATTACTCCCAACTTGTTGTCAGTGAACTGTTGTCAGCTTAGGGGAGGGGCAGGTGCGCAGATACTGACATTGATCCAAATGTACGTGCAGGATCAATGGAATGTTCCCTTGACTTGCTTAAAGGCATTTTAGCCTTAACCCCAACCTAACCCTAAAACCTGAATTGGGTGAAGTTTAATTTATATCGTTCTTTTCTTTTTTAATCAGGTTCTTCCAGTCGGAGGAATAAAAGAGAAAACAATTGCGGTGAGATAGAATTTGTCGTTTAGTGTCAGATGAATCGTAATGAGAGTAGCTGACCCTGAGAGTGTGAGAAGTATGTTTCTGGCGCCAAGTGTCTTTGTTCTGAATGGTCGTTGAGATTATTTCTGTTTCCGTTTCACAAAACTCAATCGGAATTCTCGTCATCTTTAACGTTGAAACAAGCCTAAAATGTCAGTTTAGTCATACTTTTTTGAAACTCGAGGAAAAAACTACTGCTCCTTTTACTTACTATTTTTGTTACAGGCCCGCCGTGCAGAAGTCGACTGTGTCATTTTACCCGAAGGAAATCGCAAAGACTTTGCTGATCTACCGGAATTTGTCAAAGAAGGACTTGAAGTTCACTTTGTCTCTCATTACACTGACATTTATCGAATTGCTTTTGAGTCATGACATAGGCTTTACTGCGGGCGGAAAAATGTTAGGGTAGTCTGTGGTGGAATTTGAATGTTCATTGACATCATCAGAAGTGATTCTCTCAACTTCCATCGAAAATTGACTGCAGCATTTGCACCGAGGAAAGCACCACGTGCGTCTGAATTTCATGGAATGTTCAAGTAACTATAAAACCCCTTCTCTTTAGAATGACATTTTTCTAAGCATATGACTGATTCAAATACAACGAGAGTTGCAAGATAGACGGCAAGGCTCAAAGTTGCTGGGATCAGTTCCATTTAAAATCAATTACCTCGATAACCAAATAGAATTGACGCAAACTGGTTCTTCAACACGCTGTGTAGTGTCATTATGGGTTTAGTATATCAGGGGAAATCAATACAGTAAACTGAGAGACAAATCTTTGACCAAGCACGCGGCTCTACGATAGATGAATAACGTTTTTGTTGAAGTAGGGTATGTTGTCTTTGAGTGAAAGAAAAGCCATACATGTAAATAAATGTTTATTAGAAAAGATTCAATAGTGAGTTGAGAAAACGAGAAGGAACGGGTATCTGGAGGTTTCGCCCCAGCAGAGCACAAGTTCGTCCCTACCATCTTTGCAAGTTCGCCCTGTGAACTAAAACAAATTCACCCTTTCCCCCCCCCCCTCCCCAACCTTAACGACTTCGCTCTCAAATGTTTCATCTCGTTTCCTTAAAGCAGAGAGTAGTCTTTTTCTACCGAGATCCTAATATGTTTCGACCAACATGCAATTTTACCCAGGTTTACCGTAACTCGAGATTAGTGGAAGTTTGTGAGATTTAGTGTTCACGGTACCAGGACTCCTCGTTAATGTTATCTCCGCACTTTGTCGAAAATGTGTCATCAAGCAGTAAAAAGTTATTGACGGATAACTGTCTTACGAGTCAATTTATCAGTGCTTTCAAACTGCCAATGTTTTCCGCGCCCGTCCCTCTTTGCTTCATTTAGTCCCTGGCGTCTCTCTGTCTTGGAAAGCCGTCACCTTGGGTGTGAAGTTTTTCTAAGTTGAAGTGTAAATTGAACTATTAAAATTGTTATAAACTTAAGAATGGCATTGGAAGTTATAGCACTGCAGAACTAGAGTTGTAGCTTGTCCGTTTGGTACGCGGTAGTGCCTCCCTCGTATCCGACTACAGCATAAGGGGTTTTTCTCAGTTTGGGCGTTTTTTTTTTTCTTTCCGCCACGTTCTGTAAATAACAGACAATGCCTAAGGCCTACTAAGAGATTACCGTCGGTAATTTGCTCGAAGAAGATGCGACTTTTAGGAAAATAATCATCTTAACTGGTGTATCCATACCATCATCTTACACTGAAGGCAGTGTTTTTTCAGACTTCAAAGCCTTGAACCTTCAAATTATTTCTTCTTCGTGTTTGAAACACCTCTAGGAGATCATTCTCCCATTTTTGGTTGATCATGATTCAAAAACCCAGTAAATTCAACATGTAGAAATTCAAGTAACATTTATTTCAAATACAGCAATTAACAACCCTTTCCTACACTAGAGTGCTTCGGTTTTTTAAACTTTGTGACCGAAAAAAAACACATTTACACCTCTTCTTAAACCACGTAACAAATACTACACTCGATGCTACCTTGAAAGTTTGGGTGCTGATCAAAGATTTTTATTGTTATATGGGTGATACAACAATTACGATTGTCTTTTATGTATTCTCAAATAAGAAAAAAAAACAGTTTAACACAACTGTTTACTTGAAATAAAATTGAACGTCAGGGCATAAGTGCATTCTTTTCCTACCCGTTGTTATATAAAGTGTCAACTCTAGTAATACTACAATAAGAGTTGTGCGGAGAAAAAGTGTAAAATTACTTGATTTTCAGTTTAAAATAATAGACCTGCTATTACTATTTGTATTTCTGGGCAACAATTTCTAGCTTTAAAACCAAACCAGAGCTTGCTGGTGTTAACATGCATATTCATCTTTTTATTCATGAGCTGCTAGTTATCGGGTTTATTTCAATCAGTTGATCAGCATTCTAAAAAGTAGTCAATTCATTTGGCAAATCTCGTTTTTATATTATATTAATAACTGTACTAAATTATTCTACAAAAGTTGTAGAAAAAATTGGATTGATTGTGGAACAGTTTTTACGAAAGTTCTCCGGGATTTCATTGTTTTTGCATTAGTAAGTTCGGTAAATAGTGCAAAGAACTCGCGCTAACATCCAAATCATATCAGATGCTAAACTTAAACCAATCATAACAACTTGGTCACACGACGGCATTTTCCCGCACTTTAGATAGTTTCTTTACTTTTGCTTCGCATTCTGATTGACCTCTGAGATATTTGCCTCTGTTATGATTGACTGTACTAATTACTACGGTTTGGGGTACTGGGCACTCAATCAAAATGCTCTATACCATTCTGATGAACATCCTTCCTCAAAATCCCTCTACAATACATCATACTTTTGTCAATACCTGTACAAAACATTAACTCCTATCGTGTTGTGTGCGATGCGATACTTGATCAAAAAGTTGTGTTAGCGAAGTTTTACAAAACCTTACAAGTATTATTTGTACAAAACTTTATAAAAAGAATTCAGCTTATGAACTTTGGCTTCATTAGCTGAGAGTACTTTGAAGAAATCGCAAAGCTGCTCAGCCCCGCCCTATAAATTCCTATCGTTTTTACAAATCAGTATTTATGCAAAGTATTTGAAGTACCACACTTAACTTGCTGAAACGAAGCGGTAGTGTGGGCATCAGACGAGTCAAACTAAAACGCACTTACATAATTGATTCAAGTCGCTGCAGTTTTCACAAAGGTTAGCCTTAAAAAGAATCGTTGTTAGGTTAAAACAGTTATTGCTTGTGAACAGGGTGTGTTATTGTGACCTGGCTACCCGACGAGATGATTGGCACAGCGTGGTTTACATGGTATACAACGAGCTCTTGAACACTTGAAAACTCGCGATCTTTCGTTCGAACCTGTGGAGGACAAAAACCAAGAATTAACCTGTAGTTAAAAAGACGACTTTCGCTTTTGAAAAAACCATTATTAATTACTGGTCTGACTTAGAAAAAAACGCACCAGAGCAACAGGACTTGACGACTTCATTAAGGTCCGGGTCCGAGACAGAGAATGAAGCTAAGGACTTGCTGCGCAATCAAACCCTCGCTCAAAAAACAAGTTGGGAAGTACCAATTTAGTGAATTTCATATTCAACATATCGAAGTAAATAATTATCCAAGATTTAACTTGTTAGCGTGTTTGGCCGTGAAAACTGTTGAAACAGGATTGCAGAAATTGGTAAATTGTTTGCGTAGTCGTGGTTGCGCGCAAGAGTACGCATCAAAGGGTCCAATGCGCCGAGGCGAGACCCTTCCCTCTCACACAAGCGTGGTAATTCCAACTAGCCTGCTTTCAAGTCTTTTTCGTTTCTTTTATGCCGTGAGGGAGCATGGATGAAGCGGGAGCCGCGTGTGGGCATGGGGCGACAGAATTCCTTCGCGCGACTCCGTTTGGCTTAAAGAAAACGGAACAGACTGTAGCGAAGGGGTGCAGGAAATTTTTGTGACCAATAATCAATCAAAAATACTAGACTAGTGCCCCACCCAGGCAAAATATCATCACCCTAATGAAAATTGAAGCAATGTAGCGTTCTGATAGTTAACAACGCTTTACTATAACAACATCGTCATAAATAAAAAAGATTTCTCAGCGTGGCAAAAGGCTGTACGAACCTTGCCCTCTGGATCCACCAACAACAAATGTCGAGGCTGTCCGTTTTGAACTCCAGACAGCACATACTGTCCCGCCTTTGATTTACTCTCTCTCACCAGGAAGTCTCCTTCATCTTCTAAAAGAAGTTCAGCTTCGGCACGAGACATTGGACCGTGGTACCACACCTCAGACTCCAGAGGGGTGGATTGAGCATCTGTGATGGAAAAGATCCCATGAAAACGAAAATCCTTGGTACAGCCTGCCAAACCTCCACATTTCCTATTCTTCTTTACAAAAATTTGCCCTGAATTTTCTTGTTTAAAAAAATACGCCTTGGATGTCGGGCCAGAGTTTTCTTGACAAAATCATTACATAGATCAGAATAACCTGAACATCACCGGTTGTCGGTTAGTGGTCAATGAGCGTCCCGAATTTTCTCTTTTTTAAAGTACGCCAAAGAAATAGCTTTAGCATCAGTATTCATATTCTTCCAACGGTTCGCTATACATTTTTTTAAGGTGCTGACAAGGAGAATTTGTCAAACAATCACGAGCTTTTTTAGATGGTGATCATTTCCTTTATTCTCCTGACCGTAAGTGTGTGATACAGGGGTGATGTTGTAAAGAGAAATTAGATGTTAGTCACTCTTAGCGGTCAAAGGGTTAAATTCCTCCTTTGTCAAATTTCTCACGCACTCTGGACGATTACGGAAAATAATTAGCCAATGAACAAACTATTTTATAGGTTACAATGTAAATGTACCATCTGTTGGCGCTGATTGTTGCTGATGCTGCTGTCGGTCTTCCTTTTCTTTCTCTGACTTAGTCGCAGCATATGGCTTAGGTACAGGGGGCCTTTTCCTTGGGGTGGGGGTGGGGCGGGGAGTATGGTAATCGTGATCATCCGGATAAGTTACCGCTGGGAGTGGAGGAGGTGGCATCTCCTCATCAAATGTTGCCCACTTATTTTCTTTCTCTAAAGAGAAAAAAACAAAGAAATACACATTCAATCTACCAATCGTTAGATAAATGAAATGAAGATAATATATCGACATCTATACATTTAAACTCACAAGTAAGAATGTAAGAAGAAGTCTGTACATGGGTTAAAACATTTTTACCCGTAAAACTTTTATCTGACCTCACTAAGTTATTACACACCACACTTGAATGTTTGAAAGTTTTTTCGTAAGGTATAAGAAACTAAATGATGTATCACGTATTGAAAAGAAACACTCTTTCCAAAAGATTTACCAAAACACAACCAAAATTGAAAATTAAAAAAAGCTGTAGTTTAAACAGAAGAGTATGTGGAGACTTAAAATGCATGCCATCCATAGAGTAGAAAAAAAGTTCTAGAAACCTTGCATTAAAAGGCTTTGAGGCGATCTCTAAAAGTAAGTTTTCTGTACTAAGAAAACGTTTTTAAAGGGCAGAATATGCTAATGAGCAGGTACGAAACAAAATAATTAACCACCTGATCCAGAGGGCGGAGAGGAAGGGTTGGCGTATGTCGAAAAGTCTAGCTGGTCAACTGGATGTCTCTCCAAGCTATCACTTCTATCAGGTACTCCAGGAGCAGCAAGCGGATTCTCGTAGAAAGCAGCACCGTTGGGATTCTCATAACACGCCCCTGCAGCGAACTTAAGGCTACCGGGCTGGTTTACGCCATTTCTACTATTGGATCGCGCTGATGGATTCTCATAGTCACCTAAAGTTGAAAGGAGAGAAAAAAACGAGTCAAACGAGAAACGCCAGCTTCAGAAACTCTCTACGGTGGCCAATTCACATTATTACACGAAACTCAGTTAAGAAAACTCATTAAATTACCTTCAAAAGCTTATAGGAAAGTATTTGTACTCACACTTCCTACGAGATTACATGGTCCACATCATAACCAACCTTACCTTTGTGTTGGATCTTGGGGGCTTCGTAACCCACCAAAGATCCTTTGGGGACATCGTAGCCATGTGCATTCATCAGTCTGTTGGGATTGTCATAGTCTCCAAGTGCATCTGATGATGTGTTTCTCAGCGTCATGTAACCAGCTGGCCGTGAATCAATTGGAGCTTCATATGCATGCGACGGCAACTGAAGATGAGTGAAAATAAATTACCAATGAATTATTATTTATTTCTATCTTTCTTTACATCAAAAGCCCCTTGAGCGACCTTAAAGTAATTTCCTGCAAAATTTAACCCACTTGACTCATATGTATTCATTGTGTTTTCATGGAAATAATGCAAAGCTTTGTGTCTGCTCAACTGCAAAAAAGTAAAAAAAAAAGAATATGGCCTCCATGAGCTGTCAGAATCACACGACAAGACAAAATGACCTCAGCTATTGAGTGGGCCGCGTAACATTCTTTTATTTCAATCCCTCAACCAGGAGGAGAAAAAAGGGGGCAGATAGGAGCTGTGCATATAAAAAAAACCTAATGAACAAGCTTGACTCTTAACGAATTTGACAAATTCGGTCAGAACTTGTTAACTGATAGTTTCAGTTTCCATTATTCTTGATGACTAGTTTAATGATTCAATATGCTTTCTGCGAACAACTAAGCAATGTGTTCATACATGTGATCCATCATTCTTTGGTTCTTCATACTCCATCTCATAGGTATGATCTTCACTCTCATCAAACAATGTATCCGAAAATCTGTAAGCAAATAGTTTAAATTTCACTCATTGTATCGCACATTCAACAAACAATAGTGAATATTTAACCATTGGTCACAACTGGAAGTGACAGTAACAAAATATCTCTGAGGCTCCAACTACCTTCAAAGCAACTCAAAACCAATGATAACATGTGCAAAATCAGGAAAAATTGTCAACATTTGATAACACAGAGATGTGAAATATGGTAATCTTTTCTTCTTTTTTAAAGACAAGACTTAGAAATGATTAAAAAATACAGTATTAACAATAAGAGACAATGCTACATCATTATCTAAATAATTTTGAAAAATTTGACAAGAGAATGGGACAAGTTAAAGTCACCAGAACACAAAGCATAATATGAGCTGCTCTAGTTTCTAAAGCAACTGTGGTGCTGCATCGGTGGAAGAGTATAAAAAGGTAATTGGCCACTCACCCTGATGAGGGGCTAATGCTTGAAACATCAGCTTTGAAACTCTTAACAACCACCAATTTGCCAAATCACTTAGCTCTAGAAGCACAGTAGACTCACGGTATATCAGAGGGAGTAGAACAGAGGAGGAAGACACTGAAGGCGTTAACTTTGCTGGTCATGTTTCTACAGCTGAGTATAGAACAACCATGTGGTCTCTGCATCTTACCTTTCAGGAACCTCAGTGGCAAGAGGTGGATTCTGTAAAAACATCTTAAAACGGATTTCAAAGGCTTGTCCTATGGTGTTGATCACATCATAAGCTAGCCCACCTCCACAATCCAGAACAAAACAAGCTGAAAGAAAATAGATGTTATTATATGTAAGCTTTCATTATAATGCATCATATATGAATACAAAGTCATGTACTAACTATAACAAAAGTATTTTGTACTTAACAGTTACAATTAAATTACAGCAATTATAAACTATACATGGGGTACAATAACCACAAAGGGCTTGAAAGAGAGGCAGCCACACTTGACATTAAGATGGCTAGCATAATCTAAACAGTAATCCCGCATTTGTTTATAATTGTATGTTATGTCAGTAACTTGGCATGTTACTGAAACTGCTGTAAAAAAATGAATTTGTTATTTGATTGTACATACATGCAATTGTCCATATCAAGTAAGAAAAAGTGAGCGTAATGTATACATGTTTCACAAATTTAGAAAATACACTTATCTGTGATGCAATTAGATTGTAATTTATATAGAAGAATGTTGTAACACTACAACTGTAAACAGAACATGTAACATAAATATATTTCAGACTCAGTCTTCAAGACAATCCTTCCTTATCTGTTATCTATACAAATGAAAACCATTACAAAATACAAACCTCTTCCATTAACATGATCTTTTGCCACATATCCTATCATATCAATGCAGTCCTATAAAAAAAAAATGTTCCACAAAATTTTTCTTTTTAGCTTGGCTCTAGGGTCTATGACACGTGACATTACATTCTACAGAGACTATTTCAATGACAGATTTAAAAGAGCAAAATAATAATTACTAGAAACTAATGTGTTTCATAGGGAAACCAAAGACAATTGTTTACGCTGATCAAGGGGATTTTTAAGTGTAACAGCTCGACAAACCATATACTTCAATCTCCACTGTGAAAAGTATATCAATGCAAGTCAAATACAACTGACAATAAGCAAATATGTTATAGCTGAGAAAGGGTTTTTTAACCTCAGTTAATGAAATTTGCTTTATTTGAAAGAGACAAAAGTTTGCTTTGTATGCCATCATTTAAAATCTGGCGCAGTAATCTTGCCACTAAGCATAGTTGTCAATTCAAATAATGAGAAACTCTAAACAACCACAAGGATTGAATGATAACAGTCTGCCTTAAGTTGAAAACTTTATTCACCTCTTGCTGCAATTAGATCCACATTCTATACTTAGACTTGTCCATCAAATACCTTTTCTCCTCCACTAGCAAATGAAATCCCTTGCATGTCATGATTAGCGACAATTCTACCATTTTCAATGCTTGTCAACTTGATACCAAGGGATGACAGTGTCATGTTGACAGCACAGCCAGAGTTTGCCATACCAGGGACTTCTAAATATTTTACAAGGGAGAAAAGAAAACTGCTAGTCTTACTGATAATAATTGTTTTCAATTTGGAATATAAAAAAACTGTTTCAAATAAGCAGCCCACATCCACATGTAAAATAGGAACTCATAAAATCTTCTTGCTTCTCACATTTTTTTGTGTCAACAGGGTAACATTTTTATCCTCAGCAGGCTCCCACAGATAAAGAAAAAACCTTTATTATGTGTACAGGCTCTTTCACAAGTTGTATGAACAGCATTCAGTTTCATAATATCAAAAGGACTACCACATTTTTTGGGATTCATTTAACACTTGAATAAAGTTCAAGATTAAGAAAAAGCCTTAATTAAACGTACAAGGTACATGAACATTCAAGTTAATGCATCCTTATCATAAACTGCATAACTTGTGTTCAACAAACATAGAAAGTCATGTTTAATTTTGAGCAGGGTAATCAAAAAAGTAATAGTCACAGTTCCAAAAAACAAATTATAGCATAACTGACTTAACAATAGTACATCCTTCCAATCATTACCTCCTAGAAGCTTTTGTATGTTCTTTCCTGCCTGATAAAGACCACAAAAAATGCCGTTAAAAATTTTGACCAATCATATACCTAACTCAAAATATATCATCATGATAAAAAGCTTTGTGGAAGTACAGCCCTCTAGAAAAAAGATTTTATTTTCAATAAAGAAAATGTACAGGAACACTCAAGTTGTTGGTGATTGTTTTTTTCCCTGTATACCGTGGCCACTGTGAAAGATATCAGAGAGGGAGCAGAAGAGTAAAAAGGACATTAAAAGCCATTGATAACTTTTAATTATGCTGGTTGAAAATTTTTTCTAAAGTTATTACCTTTCTCCATAACATACCTTCTTTCTCCTTGACAGCTGATAGCCAGCAGCTTCAGAACATCTCAAGATAGCTTCCCTACAATGCAAAAAATATCACCATGACCAACAAAAATAATTGATAACAATTTTTATGCCGTACATCGAAACACATTTGAGGTCAAAAATGTTTCTGAATCAATACTTTATTTATTAAATTATTTTATTCCCAGAAGTGATTGACAGATAACTTCTCTCCATTATATCTATACATTATCCAGCACACAGGCAATGAGAATATTCAAACTTGTCACTCCAGGTAGTTGTTTTCTTGATCTAACACCAAATTCTTGTTACTAATTTAGAAGGAAATGTGTAGCAGCTAGAGGGAAGAATTAAAAATCACATCCTGGGAGTTATTTGGTTAATAGGTCTGCAGCAAAATTGTATGAGAGTTTGAACAGGGAAAATTGAATATCCATCACATAATTCTTTGACGGTTATCTCTTTTACTTCAGAGAGGAATGTAAATGAAACTGAAGAAAAATATTCAGTAAGGAATATTGTTTGATTTAAAAGCAAATTCTCAGAGCTAATTAAACAAGAAATATATTGTAGATTGAAGTGCAAATAATAGATACATAAGTTTTGAGATTTAAAAAGTAAAAAAAAGAGTAAACATTGCTAATGATTCTATTTTGATATCCACATCACACTACCATAAAGACACCACCCTCTGGAAATCTGTTACTTTGAGTCACATCCCCAACCCTTCCTAAATTTGGTAATTTTCACTTTAGTCAGCCTCTCTCAGTCAATAAAAAGTCATTGCAAAGAATACCCATTATTCGAAAATAGGCAAAATAGGTAAAATAGGCCCCTGTCTAAATTTGGTAATTTTTCACTTTGGTCAGTCTCTCCCAACCAATGAAAAGCCATTAGAAAGAACACTCACTATTTGAAATAAGAAAAAATAACCCTTAGCTAGCCTAAAAAAACCCAACTTTTTTTCATAATCCCTTTTCATTTTTGTTTAAAGACAAAAATATAATCTTTGAGTCCAAAATCCAAGTCAACTTCATATGAGAGATTTACTGTCACTTGAACTGCCGAGAGAGACTTGGAGATTTGTACTGTACACTTCAATTCCCAGATAAGCCAGGAGTTAGTGAGCCTCAGTGATACTACATGAATGTCACTGCATTACCACATAAATTTTATGTTGACGAAATAAACAGGTCGGAAACTATAACCATAGGGGGGTCAAACATGGCAGCAGCAAGAATTAAACTTAAGACCAAGAACACTTTTCCTCTTCTGAAACACTTAAACTGAGATATACTGTAGTTCATTTAAAGTATTTCAAGATCTGCGAATGTAAAGTATACAATAACTCTAAAAATTTTACCAACTCAAAGGTATGAATATTAAATCATGATGTTTGCGTGATAAAAAAAAAATGTAACTCAATCTTTCTCAAAAAATCAATTACTGTTTACAAACTTAGATAGTCATTTATAGTCATTTAGATACACAGGAAAAAGAGCATAATCTTTGCCTTATTTTGGAGCCACTATTTTATGATTTCATGGGACGCTATTTCATAGATGATGTCAGATAGAAACCTTGTTACGTTCTTTTGTTTTTAAATAACATGAGTGAACATGTATACGTATAGTATTACTGCGTAGCAGTTCCTGATGTTCGTTAGAGTTAAAATTTTACCTTGTAACTTGTTGTCGAAGATCGTAAGGGAGAGTTCGCATGGACTTTAGAACTTGTAAACAGCCAACATACTGTGAACAATGATTAAAAACAGATTAATTCGGAATCCTCATCGATTGAAACACTAATTCTGATAAGATCACTCTTGTGCGGTATTTTGATGGCCGCGAATCAAAGTTGCCTCGACTTGAATATAATCAAACTCTGATTTGTAACAGATTTACAGGGGAGAAACAAAAATACCTTGAAATCGAACGTGAATGGACTCACTGAATTAATTTGTATGAAAATTATTTGAGTTTCAAAATATCGATCATAGCATCAACTCACTTTCACAGCGTAACAAACTCCGCCTTCCTTCAGCGAATTGTCTGAATGAAGCCATCCCCTCTGAGGCTTGTGAACAAAACTGCCAGTCTTTGTCCATTCAGCAGAGGGATCACTGGGCTTTTTCTTTCCAAACATGATTGTTTTAAACTTCAAATACCGCCAGATACCATATCAACATTCTCTTTAGTTTCCGCTGTCCCAGGATCCGTCCCAGAGTGCTTTGGAAATTTTCTCGCTGACCGACCTCGCTGGCTCAAAAGAGGAAGTAAACCCAACAACGAACGCAACGAACTGAGGAGCGAAAATTGAACTGTGAAGTAACACGGAACAGAAGAGTCTCAATTTATTGCATTTCCTCTTCGCAGCGCGTCTTGATCGTAATGATTGATCGTAGATCCGTGCGATCGTGTTACGCGTCTGTTGAAACCCTATCCTCAAAGACGGTCGACCTGCGAATCTCTAGCTAAGCCCTCACTACGTGCTGTATGCGGTTTTTGTAGCCAATAAGTGCGAGCCCAAGGCTTTGTAATGAGGACACAGTTGCCTCAGGAGGGAGTCAGGGCTAATCAACTAGCGACAAAGGGCGTTTCTTTCGCCTACAAGGTAAATCCTTAATTGAGATAGCTAGTTAAGTAAACTAGCTTTCCCAATCGACTACGATATATTAATTTAAGTGATGATAGCAAACTAAGAAGGAAGTGTTTAATTTGTTTTTGAAGAAAGAATGGTATCTCGAATTTCATTTCGGCGTCCTTTTCCCCCAGTTTTGAACGATTTTTCAACATCCTAGGCACACAAGTATCAGTCATTGAACATGTCAAAAGCTTCTTTGAAAAGTGTTTGCCCAGAAGGCCGGAGGGAACAGCTTAACAGGAAATATTGCTGTGGCTTTGTTCATTTTCCGACCTCCTTTCCTCACCATGAGTTTATATCACAAAAAAAGCAGATTCTAAAATTAACGGCATATCAATATGATTGCTTTCGTAATCTTTGACCAATCAAAGCTCTCCAGATTACGCTTTGCTGCTAATATTACAGATCTATAATTGATTTTTTACTGTAAGTTAATGTCGCGAGAACAGGATAACAATAGGCATTCTGCGCGATGCTAAAAAAAGAGGAATGATGACGGAGCGAAGAGAGGCAGGAATCAACTCCATAGGTAAAAAAAACCTCACCTGAAGCCGCAGCTTTCTGACCAGACACGCTTTCGAGGAAAAGGTAAATCTGGCAATTAAGCAACCAAAATGATAAATTGTTGTGGATTTCTTCAGCTGCGATTTTACCGACATGCCTCCTCTTTGTAATGAGCGAGAGAAAAGCACCGACACGATTATGCACGTGTTTTTCTCTCGCTCATTACAAAGAGGAGGCATGTCGGTAAAATCGCAGCTGAAGAAATCCACAACAATTTATCATTTTGGTTGCTTAATTGCCAGATTTACCTTTTTCTCGAGAGCGTGTCTGGTCAGAAAGCTGCGGCTTCAGGTGAGGTTTTTTTTACCTATGGAGTTGATTCCTGCCTCTCTTCGCTCCGTCATCATTCGTCTTTTTTTAGCATCGCGCAGAATGCCTATTGTTATCCTGTTCTCGCGACATTTCACGTGATTACAGCTTTAGGTTCAGTCCTTTTTGTATACAGCAGCTATCACGTTTCCCCACCGAGTAAGTTAGATAACAGCTGTGCATGTTTTACCGATAATAGTGTCAGTTGCTCATCCAATGTCACTCCAAACGGATGTCGAGACATAGTTAAAAATAATAACAAAAGTAGTGAACTCTGCCAAAACTCAATTATCGCGGTTGAACAGACCAATACTATTGGATATATTATTGATGCTTCAAATATTTAGCTTGTTTCCATCACTGGTGTCAAATTGTTTGAAGTAATCCAAAATGCGTGGATCGATACAAGACTCTCAGAGATCCTCTGGCTCGGTTTAAGAGCTCACAATTCATGACCCAAAAAAGAGCCTTACTAGTCATCGTGGTAATCTGGCCCTACAGCATTTTATAGGCACTTTTTGTCTTCATGGGTTGGAGAGAAAAGGGAGAGCCAGATGATAAAGACAACTGTATGCTGCCCTAAACTAAAGAATACAACATTCTTCGCTCTTTTTTTCTTGATTTACCGTAGTGCTGTCAAAAACAATCAATATATCAAATGAGATGGCTTTCCCCTCCATCCGGGAACCTACTAAAGAAGAAAAAAGGATGTATTTCAAGAATGTCAAAGCTGCTAAGACAACCGCCACCATCCTGTTGGCGCTTTTCTTCTGTTGGCAGCCTTACTGTTATTTCATCATCGTCGAAACCATTCTAGGGAAAGAGTCGTTTCCTTGCAAAGTTTACATGTCGTTGTTGTGGTTGGGCTACCCTAATTCAGCGCTTAATCCCTTTTTGTACGCCTTCAGCAACAATCGTTTTAAGTTCTAGTATATCACATAATACGAAAGCACGAGAAGGCTCTAAGCAATACAAAGCATAATTCATCCGAATAACTCACGAATGAACAACAAGATATGTATCTGAAGAATATCAAGGCAGCCAAAAGGAGCTCGGTATTCGTGTTGGCTATTTTCGTCTGCTGGCTGCCATACGCCCTTTGGCTTGTCTCTGACACCATTACCAGCAAAAAAAAGTGGACATCGTTTGACCACGAAGTCTACATCGTGCTGTTGATGTTTGGTTTTCTCAACTCGGCGCTGAATCCCTTTCTGTTCGTATTTCGGAAGAAGAACTTCAGAGCTGTGTATGCAAAAAGGTTTTCTTCCCTAAAACATCGATCACACCTGTCAATTTAGGATTCAAATGTCACTGAACTTGCTAGATTTAACACGATACTAAAACAGTGTAGTTTCAACCTAAACTTCTTAGTTATAGCTGTTCGTTTTCTCAGCAGAGCGAATGTTGACAAAGAGCTTAGAAGACCACTCTCCAAACTTAAATCAGAGGGATCTTTAAGGTTGGATGTAAGCAAACAACGAAAAAAATATTACATGAGAAAAATCCAGCTGTTTAAATTCATACTAAAAGGCGTTTTACAGGGCACAGCTGACGAGCAGATGCAGAACTCACCTCAACCAAAATCATTTCTGATGAAATGCAGGATGAGAGGATATAGACCCAGTTCCCTATCAGCGCGACCACTCTGCTTCCAGATAGTTAATTTCTTACCAAGTTGACCTTTAGAGTTCTATGAAATAGGTTATAGCTATACTGTATGTGAAGGTGAAATGATTTCGACATGTTTTTATGACAAAGACTTCACTAAATGTCATCTAAAGGATGAGCTGAAGTTTGCCAAATTGACTCAGACCGATCAATATGCATGCTTTTGTAAAGAAACTGAGAAAATTTAATGAAGTTTTCCCGGTCAACGTTCTATAATACTTAACTTTAATTTAGGAAATAAGTGGGAACCGCATTAGATGATTTAACACAATAATGATAATTTTGATGGAAAGCTCTCCGGCCAGTATACAAGACAATGCATTATGTCAACTCAATCATTAATCTCTGGAAAATATAATCTTTCAGCATGTGTGAAATATCGGGTGTGAATTCAACCAAATAAGACGTAACAGTATAATGAATATTTCTGTGTTAGCATTGTGTTTCAGACATTTCAAGATTTTAAATTTCACGCAATATCCCTTTTTTTAAGCCCGAAGAGTTATTTTTAGAAGTTTCCTCATTATTATCGTTTTTGTCATATTTTATTGTGGCTCAGTTATATCACTTGGTTGCAGACGAAAATCTAACCCAAGTCTTTGGAGCTTTTAAGCCGCATGGAAATTGAACCATACATCTTTTAAAATGTCTGGTTCAATTTGAATCTGTCAGTTTTTCATTGAAGAAATGTAAAATGGTTTCCGTGTTTACATAGCCTGATGTAAACACGCGGGAGATGGGAGTTGGCTATGTAAACACGGAAACCATTTTACATTTCTTTTATAAAATAACTAATGAAAGAGGAACGAAAACCGTGTTTACATACGCTCATGTAAAATGGTTTTATGGCCAATCAGAGCGCGCGTACTGTTTGAATTATTTTATAAAGTGATATAGTCATCGAAAATTCTAGGTTTCTTTTTGCAGTTTCAGTAAATAAGGAGACGTCAGAGTTATATTGAGTATGGTATACTCTGCCAAAATCAAGTGCAACTGGTTAATTAAAACCTTAAAAATATCTCAAGATGTAAGACACGGCCGATAATAAATTTCTTTTGGCGCTTTATTGTGTTGAGCAAATCGAATACTGTTCGGTATCGGTAGGTAGAAAGCTCCAGTAAGCTACGGGAAAAGTTTTAGTTCAATTCTTTACAACCTAGAGCCGCGACATATTTACGTTCCAGAACAGCCTCTTAAAAATGAACAACAGTTCCGCTGCAGATCCGTCCACCGACGAAGACGTTTTCTTTGGTTTCAGACCAGAGTTTTCGTATCCTGTTGCAGCCTGTTACATAGTTATCACAGTGGTGGCGGTCTTTGGAAACTTCTTGGTCTGTTTCGCAATACTTGCTAACCGGCATCTCCGCAACAATCCCACGAATCTTTTCATCTTTTCCTTGGCTCTTTCAGATTTTCTCGCGGCAACGATCGTGGTACCGTTTGATATAGAATCACTTTTCCTTGACGGTGCATGGAATCATGGAAGAGCATTCTGCATAGTTTGGCAGGTGGTGTACATGATTACTATACCCATCTCGATTTTCAGCCTATTGACCATCAGTGTGGATCGATATAAAACCCTCAGTGATCCTTTGTCGCGGTTTAAGAATTCACAGTTCATGACCCAAACCAGAGCTTTAATTGTTATAGCGATCATCTGGCTGTATTGCCCACTATGGCCGTTTTTTGTCCTCATGGGTTGGCGAGAGGAAGGAGAAGCAGATGATGATGGCATCTGCATACTGCCATACACAAAGAACTATATCCTTGTTTCGTCCTTTCTTAATGTTATTCTTCCGCTAATGATCACATGCTTTTTTTACGTCCTCATATATCGCATTGCTGTCAAGAACAATCGATCCAATAAACGAGGCACCTTTCCTTCGATGCGGCAGCCCTCCAAGGATGAAAAAAAGGTGTATTTGAGAAATGTCAAAGCGGCTAAGACGACTTCAAAGTTCGTTTTGGCGCTGTTCTTCTGCTGGCAACCTTACTTTTATTTTGCCATTGCTAGTGCTATCGACGGAGAAAACTGGGAACCGTTTCCTTACGAAGTTCACCCAGTGTTGTTGATGTTTGGTTACCTTAACTCAGCACTTAATCCGTTTCTTTTTGCCTTTTTCGACAAAAGTTTTAAGGCTGTTTATAAAAAGCGTAAACCAGCTGTGAAACGGGCTGAACCGTGCATATCGTTTCGCCGGCTCTCAACGTTTTCACAAAGCACTGTCACCTCCGATATTCCGTAGCTGGGAAGCGGTGTCCGTCTCCGATCCATATCCTATTATGAAGATTCAGTTTTTGAATCAGTGCCTGCGGCAGAGAGGTAGCTGTAGTGAGAACTCAAGGAGGTAATTTAAGATCTAGAATCTTTGGTTAAAAAGGCTGGGTTGTTTGAATATGATTTACCAACAAACATTATATTGTTGCATTACTGCGAAGCTCTTAATTTGAATATTGTAAAGCAACCACATTACAAATGAGAATTTTCCCAAGCACTTATATAGATCCGTCACGTAATAACAACATATGCATTTGGTACATAATCACATTGCAATGTACCTGCTTAAGCAATAGCGGTAATCATAAGTTATGTTTGGGGTAGGAATCACCTGACATGTAACTCTCAGAGATTTGATGGTAAAAATGTATTATTAGTGCGATGGACTTTGAGAGGACCATTGAAGTTCTATCCAGCGAGAACATATTATATGTAAATTTTCTGAGCTTACCAAAATTTTGTTTGAAATTGATGTGGTGCTTTATCCTTGAAATTATCGGGACAGAAAATTGAAGTTAGGGATACTTAATCAGTAGAACATGGAAATAGTGTAGGTGAAGTGACGTGTGGTCTCAGTATTATATCTGTAAGACATAAACCTCTACAAAACATTGGAGGTTATCAGATATGGGCAAACATATTTAATTCGACAAAATTTGACTTACAAAATTGCAAAAACAAAGAGATCAAATGTTACAAATCTTAGTTTCGTATGTATCAAGAGAATGTCAACTGCTGACGTTATCTTAAAACATAATTCAAATATTCAGTACATAATACATATATTCACAGGCTTTCTGCCTGTGACTGGACTATACGAAACACAATTCGGACTGATCTGAAATCACCTGCTTTATATTTTTTGTTTGTTTTGCTTACCAAGCTAAAGCTCGATACCTTGTTTACTAAAGATCTTTTTTCACAGCCACAGCTATTTTTTCTTGGTCGTCATTGAATAGCTATCTTTATCTCATCGGCTAATAATTTTAGCTGCTTTTGTTTCATTGGCTCAGTTTAGCAATAAAATTTGAAATGTTGAAAAGCTGGCATGTTAAAACGCACAGTTTAGTCTAGTCATAGCCATTAGCCTTTACATAAAGGCTGCTTCGCCCGTTTTTGCTATTAACACAATTTTGGGTAAGTACAGGTTTGTCACAAGCGTTTTTATAAAGGACATGTTGAAAATAAAGTAACGAGGTTGTGATCGACATATTAATGGAATTCCTTGTTTCCACGTATCGATAAACCAGAAACATATATCATGGCGGGACTTCCTGATTTTCTCGCTGATAAGCTGCAACCCTGATTCATTGTAAAAATTTTGGGCAAAGACGTGCGGCTCATTATACGCCGGTGTTTACCGTGGCCGTAACTTATATGCTTCCGATTAATGAACCAGTCATTGTCTACCGACCGAATGGAGGGTTTGGGGTGGGGAGGGGGTGGGGGGGTTTGGATGATTTGTAATGATATGGTTTTCAGGGGAGAGAGGAAAACAGAGAACGGAGGGGGCATCAGTCTTCGTCAACAGAGTGTAAAAGGGGGGACCATACTAAAGTGACTGCAATTAACTGCCAGTGAGGGGGAGGATCAGGCAAATTTTAACGGGACACAACCAAAATGCTCCGACCCAACTCCACCCCACCCCAGGCGGGAAATAATGACCGCTCCTTAAACGCGATTTAATAACTATACCTACAGTGACGCAACAAGGCCATGTTCAAAACTACCATGACTGAATGATAAGATACCCTAGAGTGGCTTGATTACAGTAACTCCTTGCAGTTAGGAAAGGAAAGGAAATTTGAAATAAGAATTTCCTAAAACTAATTGAGAAATTGAAAGTTCACGCTATAGTCTCTAGTGTGTACGAATAGCTTCAAATTTTGATGGCATAATCCTTTTAGACTAGCATCTAATTCATCTTTACATGGTCACCCCCAAATCACACATTAACTCTTTAACTCCCAAGATCTGACTGATAATTCTTCCCTTTGGCTGTTACATATTTCCTTGTTACACATTTCCTTGTGATAAGTTACGAGAATTTGGTGATTGATCAAGATAACAACTACCTGATATGTTTTGGTATTCTCGCCACCCGTTTTTTAGATAACGTTGGGATATTATAGGGAGAAAGTACATGTTAATCACCCCTGGGAGCTAAAGGGTTAAGGTCACAAGAATAATAATTAATAATAATAATTTATTTACTTATATAGCGCCCTTTAACATTTATGGATGATCAAAGGCGCTTGACAATTAGTGTCTCTTCCACCCATCCCACCCCAGGGGAGGACATCCACCACACAGTAATCTCGTGCGTGGGAAATTAACGTCTCCTACCCCAACCCTGCAGGAGACGGGGCCTACGGTTTTACGTCCTATCCGAGAAGACGAGGAATGTAACAGCCAAAGGAAATGTTCGCCGGCAAAAGAATCTCTTGATTGCCAACAAATTCTCCTTGTCAGCACTTTCGGAAACTTACAGAAAGCAGGGGTTAATTTAGTAAAACTTTTACACTTGTAATCTACAACTAGGACCAATGTGTTTCAAAGTGCAGACGAAAACGAGTATAATAATAATTATATATATTATAAGTATATATTATAAGTATAATCGTTGCAAGTCCAGATTATGAGTGCCCGACTTGTAATTACAAGTGTAGTGCTACAAGTGTAAAAGATAGTAAGAATCATATTTAATAACAATTTTACAAGAGTTTAACTTTTATTTTTACAAGAGTTCGACCTGTAAATCACAAGTGCAAAATACAAGCCGCGACTGCCCGTTTGAGTAACATTTGTAGTGAGCGGGCACCGTTACGTTACACTTACTTCTTCCATTTCACCACTCTCAGTTTCCACGGTAGACACTTGCACTTTATCAGTGTAACTTCTAACGCCACCTTTTGCAAAGAAATTGAACATAACGATAAATTTATTATCCCCGGGTTAGCGGTCGCTCTGCTTCTTCCGTGTTGGTAAAGGGTAAGTGCTGCAGGGTGGGGTTAGGGGTTTCTTTAAGATCTGAGTTGGTTTATGAAACTTTTACTCTAGTTTGGCAACATATGATAGTTCTTTCCCCTTGCATGAGTAAAAAATGACGATAGTAGCATTCTCATTTCATTACCAGTAGGACTTGCACGTTTAAGAGAGCTGAATTATTTAAATATGGAGTATAATTATTTCACCTTCAACGCTAGAAGCTGTTGTGAAGACGATCTCAAAATTTAATGTCCCAATCGCCGACCTTCACTGGTTCTATATTGGTGCTTTCACAGCCTTAAACATCGAAGACAGGCTCATCTAGCTCAATGAGCTCTCCACTCCCCACCCCTCTTCCCTGGACCAGTCTTCCTTGATTCGCCTTATTTTTTGGTGTAAATCTGCGTATGTTGGCCCATAAAATATTTCGGAGCGTCTATGTTTCAGAGTGTCTATGTTTGCGCCAAAGCCGTTTTATTGCGTACGAATCCTTTCTCGCGCTGCTTGCTTTATTTTCTTTGTCACGGTCGACGAAAATGGCGCCAAAACTATCATTTCAACTGTGTTCCCTCTCGAGCTGAGCCAAAAGCAACTTTTTTGCCGCAGGTATCGATAACATGCTAAACAACTTTTGACGAATAAAACTGAAAGCAAACGAAGCAAACGAAGCAAAGCCACATGTATTAAGAGGACGGCAACGATTTTTAATTGCACATGTAAATATATTTACATTCAAGCAGAGTCTACATTTGTAAGAGGGTCTTAATGTGGTCAACCTTTATCTGTAAAACGGCAAACAAAAAACTTTGACCGTTAGTCGTAAAAAAGTTAATCGTGAAAAAAAAACTCCTATAAAATCAACGAGAAGAAATTAATCATAAGCCATAAAATCCATCACCCCATTGCGACCCTCTTGTAATTCGTACATTTGTTATTTACACTAGTGTAATGACCCGAGATACAGGTCTAAATTCTAGTGAATAATATTGCTTTATTAAATACTTATATTTAAAAGTCGGACTTTACCCGTGTACATTACTCGTGTAAAAACTTCAAGTGTAAATTCCTTATCAAATTGATCCCAGTATGGAGAATATGCATGCTGATGTTAGTGTGTAAAAAGTTAACTTTTCAGTTCAATCGAAGTTCGAGCGCGAATTTGTTCAAAATATTGTTACGTTCAGCTGATTTGCAGTTTATAACATGTTATCAGTTCTCCTTGGTAAACAAAGAATATTCACCAGCTTTGAAAGAAGTGTATTTGAATCTAGCCAGGTTAAGATGCTGTAAAATCACACGTCACTGCTTCAATTTTATCGATTGAAGACGTACTTCTCTGCTTTCCTCTTCTGGAATCTGGGAAACTTAAACCTACCCAGTGTGGTCGACCTAAGCAGTTTCCGATATACAGATTGAAATCTCTTGTTACGGAAGGCAAACAGAAAGGGGTTGAGCGCTGAGTTAAGGTAGCCAAACATAAGAAGAACCCAAAAGAGTTCAACGCGATATGGGTCCCGTGTATCACCGACTAGGTTAGCAATGATGCTGAAGCAGGTGAAAGGCAGCCAGCAGAGAAATATGACAACTACAAACATGGCTGTCGTTTTGGCTGCCTTTATGTTCCTTGAGTACATCTTGTTATCTTCTTTAGTGGGCCTAAAGGTTGACAGCAATCCACCTCTTTTGTTAACGTTGCGGTGCTTGCGAGCGATGAGGTAAATGAGGATGTAAAACACACATGTGAGAAGTAGTGGAAAGACGAAATTCATGATAGAAGTGAGAATGTTGTAGAAAATGGCATAGTGTAAAGGGCAGGTACCTTTGTAAATTGGCTCGACACTTTTATCTTGCCATCCCATGATCGGAAGGAGTGCCCACACAATGCAGTAAGACCAAACAAGTGCGATAACAATCAAAGATCTTCGCTGAGTTATAAATTGCGAGCGTCGAAATCGACCAAGTGGATTCTTAAGGGTCTTA